ATTCCTCGAACTCCGCCGCCTGCAGTTCCTGCGCCTGGCCCCGTCGCACTACGGCGAGCACCCTGATGACCGCGAGTAAATCGTCGCTCTTGTCAGCAGGGACATTCGTTACCATGCTGGATCATGACAAGCGCCCGTTGCATGACAACGGCTGATGATGCAGGGCATCTGAGGGCGAGGCTGACATGTGGATGCGGGGAAACGGGAATGCAGGCAGCGAGCATGTTTTTGTCTTTCATGGGTTTCGGGTTTATCTGGTGGAACCTACGACGGGAGCTTGGGGAGTCAGCGCTAGAATGGGATATTTCTTTTTGTTTGCCTGTCAAATCTTTGGACGGTCGGTACTTCAGAAAACGATAACAACTTGGAAGCCTCACAGAACACACAAATGACGACATGAAGTTTTGACTTTGCTTGCGCATCAACCTAATCATGCCGGCCTGGCCGTGTTGGTTTTGTCGCCTCCCTCACTGTCTCTTTCCTGGCCTCTTGGCATGTGAAATATGCCCGTCGTCGACAGGCTCTGTTTGGCCCGAATGTCAATCAGGTGCCGTGCCAGGCAGGCCTTGGCTGGGTTCAGCAGCATGCCTGATGACGAGGGCGGCGGAAGAAGCTGCGGTAGTGTCGATCGTGGCGGTGAATGTGCCGAGGGACGGGATGAGACGGCATGTCTTCACGCGTGTGAGATGAGTCTAAGTCTAAATTGTGAGGAATGGGGGGTCACGGAGGGGGAAGACCATCAGTGCCCGTGACAATGTGCCACGGCATTGATGAGCTGTGGGGGTCTGGGTGGGAAGGACGACTGTGCGTGTCTGCTTTGCGAATCGAGCTAGTCATGGAAATCGGTCAACTTCTCAGCAATCGGTCTCTGGTTGCACACACATACACACATGCGTACGCTTTGCTGGCAAGGTGGACAAAGGAGGGGGCGTGTGTGGCACGGACGGGAAGCGCGGGGCGGGACGGCTGTAGAGCGAGCGGGTGGCTTGTTTTCTGCCCTGTTACTAATTCCCATGCCGTACTTTGTAAGGGGAGGGGGGGGGGGGCATTCGGTGTTTGCGGCGACGAGGTCATGGCGGAGTGGTGAGGATTGGGGGCCCGGCCGGGCTGGTGGGTGGGATGTTTTGTTTCGTCTGGTGATGGGTCATGGTGTGGGAAACAAGCTTAAAACGAGCGTTGATGCGCTTGCCTGGCTACCTACCTATATTTAGGGGGATAGGAGAAGTGTGTGGTTCGTGCGGCTCGTTTGGCGGTGCCATCTGATCTTTTTTTTTTTTTTTTTGGTCTGTCCCGCTTGGCTCGCTTTGCTTTCTGGAACGCGGCCTTGTCACGGTGATAGGGAGAGCTTCAGGATAAGAATAGCGAAGGTCGGACGGACCAAAGCGGCTTTCCCCTATGGACAGGATTGCGAATGGTGCATGTTTGTTTTCCGCTGCGAAATCATCTTGACTCTGCGCTTCTCACGTGTGAGTGTCGGCTTGCATGATGCTGACGACTCTTTGTGAGTGAGAGCGAGTTTCGTGCTTCGGAAAGCGTTCATACTAGCTTGCTCTCTGGCAGACAATGTAGCTGCAGGCACTGTGTATAGGGATTGTGATGGGGGATTGGCTGCAGATGACATCAGCTTGCCGCAGGATCACAGTCTGAGTGACAAGCAAGAGCCCGAGATGTTGCGCCGTGCGAAGATCTGATCACCGCCGACGCCAGAAAAGAGACTTCATCTCCCAACCCGTGCAATGTGCAGCTCCGGGTCCTCGCCCGCGCACTCGGCCGCCAGAGCCCGCCAGTCCACGTCAGCCACGCCGCGGCCGCGCCCGGCGTAGCAGCACGCGGCCCCCTCGTCATGGTACGCGCACCATAGCGGCCTGTGCGCGGCCAGGACCGTTAGCCGCGCCGTCTCGAGGTCCGGGTCGGCGAGCAGGCGCAGCAGGGCGCGGAAGGCAGGCGACGACGCAAAGGCGGCATCCTCGGCGCGCTCGGTCTGCGTCGGTGGCGGGGCGGGACGGTTCGGGGCTACGGGGCCGCGGTGCCGGCGGACGGGCATCAGGACCGTCAGGTGGCGGAGGCTGCCGGCGAGGATCATGTCTATCAGGGCCGGCAGCACGAGGGCCGTGAAGGCTGTGCCGAGGCGGGCGGGGCGGAATGTGAGGTGGCGGATGCGGCGGCGGGCGGAGGGGGTCAGGAGGATGTTGTGGTAGGGGTCGGCGAGGGCGCGTTCGGTGGCGGCGCGGGCGTGGGCTGTCAGGTCCAGGATGAACGTGTTGGAGGTGTAGTAGAGCAACGAGGCCGTCGCATGGAGGAGGGGGTGAGAGAGGAAGAGATCGTGAGGGAAGGGGGTGAAAGGCGTCAGAGGGTTGAGGGGTATGAGATCTGGGGCGGCGGTGAGGTAGGAAATGATCTCCTCGCGAATCTCAGGGGGAAGGTCAAAGAACCGATCGAATTCGGGAGTGCCCATGGCGAGGTATCGGCAGGCAGCGTGACGGGCGCCGTGGGGCGCATGGTTGAGTACGGTAGGTAGCGAAGATGGTGATGATGCTCGTTGAACATGCCCACTAGCGATGGACCATGATACAGTGTGGCTAAATACCTGAACAGCCCGTACACAGTGCATGCGGCTGAAGCGTGTGTTCAGTACCAGAAGTCAGATAGGCTGCTCTCTATGTGCCATATCACTTCTGACGAGATGGCGAATCGAGTTTGGTTGTAAAGAATCAATAGTCAATAATTGCAGCATTACTATCAACAAGAGAACTCTACAGCGCCTGACCCATTTGCCACCCCTCTGCCCCCCCCAAAGGGGACCATGATCATACGCCTGCCTTGTTCAACGCCTTTCGCAACCTTGCGTAGAAACAAAAAAGAACCATGCCTAGAATACCGTCAAGGTGTTAACCAACCCGTTCTTGAGAACTTCAAACACGAGCCCTGGGAAACCATAAAGCGTCGTGGTCGAATCATCACCGCCGTCCAGCTTCTGCACGCCACCATGGCCGCCGCTGTCTTCCCAGCCACCGAGAAACTCGACGCTGCTTCCGGGGCTATCGCCCCATCCACGGTTCAATACCATGCCCCGTTGCCTCTGCGTCCCATCTCCGCTTGGTAGTAGGCCCTTCCACGCTTCGTGCAGTCTCTCTTCGATGTCCGTGAACCTGGCCTCTGAGTTGGCTGTTATTGTACCAGCAGCGTCATCCTCAAGATAGCTAATCTCCCACCGACACCTCCGATGACGGTTGAACTCGTAGGAACCCGGCACGTTTCCGTGAAGCACCAACTTTGTCGCTACGAGCCGGTCTGGGGACTCGGTGATTGCCGTGCTGCTCGGTGGCAGTGTCGTCGTGTCAGTGGTTGGGGGAGGCTGTGATGGCGGACTAGGTGTCGAAACGAGGACATCGAACCCGAGGTAGAAATAGTTGTAAAAACACTCGCCACCTACGCGGCCCACGGCATCGTCTTCAATAACTTCGTCGTTGGAGTCATCGGAGCCCGTGTGCGCCGACGACTGATCTGTGTCAGTCAGCTCGTCAGGGCGCGTAGTATCCGTCCCGTTGGCGCGCGTGCGGCTGTGACTTGCGGTGCGGATCTTGTGAATGGTCATTCTCTGGTCGTTTTTGCGGTATGTCGCATTCGGGGGTCCCAGCTCGGCCACGAGCTCCTGAGGCGTCGTCTCGCCGAGCCTGACCCAGAAGGATGCACCCGTCCACTTCCGGAACAGTTGAATCTTTCCAGCCCCGTGTATCTTGACGAGTGATATCTCATCGGGTATCACGTCCTTCCCCCTTGGAAGAACAGGTACTGTTTTGATGCTGGGGAGGATCTCGCTCCAGATGTTCTCTCGCGCCTGTGACCACGAGTCACCGGCGAAGACAGCCATAGACGTCGCTATCTGGGCGGCGGAGGACGAGAGGAGAGAGACAACGTCCTTGTTGGGTGAGTACGCCGACTGCGCGAGTCGAAAGGTGAAGGCCACGCCTGGGTACTATAGCACGTAGTTTCCCATGTCGTCCGGTGAGTCAGGCCGTCACAAGAATGTACTCGCCGCCATAGCTCGAGCCCAGAAGCTGTTGCTATGTATGTCGAAACGTGCGTACGGCACTCGAATCTCTCGTCGTAGCACTACTAGGGCAGAACTTAGCCCTGCGCCGGTTTGTCAGGATCCGGAGCTTTGATG